AAAAAAAAAAAAACCCCACTACTGGGAGAGATACAGCTCAGGGACTAATTATATGCCCTTTGGAGGTCCCAGGTACAAATTCAAGTTAAAATGAATGGCTGTAAGGGGGCAGGGGCTGACTGTGATCCTGGAGAGCTACTCCCAGATGCAAAAAACTATACTGTACTGGGCTAGCTCACTCCCTGTAAAACATCTTCAGATGCACACATGGGCATAGCAGGCTCCTGTCCCACAGCACCCATCACTTGTTTTCCCAGGCACCCCGGTCCTCCTACCAGGCGATCAGAACCAACATTGTCAGGACTGACAGGGGAGGGCACTCTCGGTGCATTGTGTGTGTGTGTGTGTGTGTGTTGTGTAAATCATTTTATTAAAATACCTTGAGAGCTGGTCCAGAAGACTTTCTTTCTCTTTTTCTTCAGGTCCCTGTTGTCTGTGGCAGAAGTCCATAGATATTATTAAAACTGCATTTATACAGTTAGAAAAGTAAAATCCACCCCCCCATCATCTGCTGAATATTATAGCAGCATCTTATTACATTTATAGGTAGCTGACAGGATTCACATAGATGCATTCCATGATTTTTGTACTATAGGCTCTAGACCAGTGGTTCCCGACCATAAGGAATCCAGATGTTCTTGGACGACAATCCCCAGAAATCCTGGCCAGCACGGCTAGTGGTGAAGGCTTCTGGGAGTTCTAGTCCAAGAACATCTGGAGGCCCAAGGTTGGCAACCACTGCTCTAGACCCTTTGCTTTTTCTCTGTGACGTAATTCATACTGGAAATGGAACTGATGTTTCCAGTAGCTAAGAATGTTCATTTCTATTTGTCGTCCTGTAATGTGAGGTCTGGATCATTTGGATAGAAAACCATCAGAACATTACATTACTGGTTACACTTTTCTCTGCACTGATGCATATTTTTTTTAAAAAATTGAAAAAAGTATTTGAATGCCAAAATGAACACATTCCCCAGAATTCAAATCAGAAATTTAAAAATCTGAATCACTTTCTGGCTGAAGGCAATATTGTTTGTAGCTTCCACTCTAGATCATATAATTATGCATGTCTCTGTCTTCAGTTCCTCATGTCATTTACACAGTGAATCGCTAATTCACAATTCAATCACACCCCCATCATGTTAAAAAGGAGTCATTACTGTTGGGAGTAAACAGCTTGTTATTGTGAGTCAAAGACACAAGAGCCAATTCACACAACCACTCAAAAGTTCCCAGGCCACCTCTTTTCCAGCCATGTAGCTCTCAAGCTTTGGATGAACCATCTTTGTCTGAGCTGGTTGCTCAAGATCTCAGGCAGCCTCCTCCGTTCGGTCTCCGCTGGGAAGAGTTTTGGCGAGAAGTTGTGGGATAGCTTTTGTTTGTGGCAAATACATTTGTTTAAAACACCCATTTTTAAGTGAGCAAAGAATGCTGCAAGGTGCCAAGCATGAACAGAGTGGTTCTGTGAATCAGCTCTAACACAGCTTTTTAAGAAAATGAACTCTTTTCAGGCTATGTACTTGTTCTATCAAGGGTGGTTGATTCCTCCCCTAAAGATTTAATTTCTAAGCCCATTTAATTCAGTAAATATGTTGAGGATCAGGCTTATTTCCTTGCTTGCTCAGAATAGGCATGATCCTGCCACCACCAAATGACCATACAAAGAGCTTAGGAGAACACCCATACAAGCCAGATGTTAACTTTTGCCAATAGTATACACGTGTACCAGTCACATTGGGAGATCCACATCATACCTGTGTCACACTATGCCCAGCACAATACTGCAAAGGTAGGAACACTCCCCCACCACATTCACCCACCCACCAAATTCAGACATTTGGAAGCCCATATAAGGACACTTCAAGGATCAATGTCCCTATATGGGATAAAACTATAGTCCAATAGATTCCACCCACAATCATGGAGCTATAAGAGATAATGATGTGCATAGGCAGGGAGACCCCTGGGAGAGGCTGCTTTCCAGGCAGCCAGATGCCTGCCCTTCACATTACATAAAAAGGCAGGATCCTGCTGATTGAGGTTCCTTAAGGCATATGTTTGATTCGTCCATTGAGTAGCCAACGTCATATCTAACTGAGGCGCTGTTTGACCAGCTGGCCAGTAATCAACCAGGATGATGACTGATGTCGACAATGCAAGATGCAAAATAAAACAAGATAAAACATGGAGTATTTGGACAGTGATGAACCCAAATACTGATCAATGAGACAGCAAAGTACTAAATTACTTTGACTGTCTGCATCAGACATGGTGAATGATACAAAAGCTGTGGAGGGAAAGGAAGGGGAAGAAGTCGAGGGATGAGACCCACATACTTTGTACATGTATTTCTACCATTTCCAACTGGGAAATGCTTTCGGTTATAGTAGAACAGTTTACTGTGCTGGGTTTTTCTCTCTCTTTTTGCCGATATTCTGAGGATTCTTGGCGTTCCTAGCAATCTTCTCTTGGGTGTGTGTGTGGGTTTCGAGTCATTCATAACAGCTCCTGACTACCAACCTTCCCTTGAAATGTGTAGCTTTTCCAGGAGACTTTGGGTCTGTTTTTTCTAGGTCACCCTGTCTGTTAGTTGAGGCAGGGCAGCAGGAATGACCAAGACCCGATGGAGAGAAAGGATCGTGCATGGCCGTACCAGCAAGGATTGTTTCTCCCTTAAAGTGAGCCTTCCGTCTGTCGGGAGGTAGTCCAGCCCAGTCCCCAGAAGGAGCAGCCTTATTGCTGGATCTGAAAAGGTCCAAGTTGGGCACCGATTGGGGTTGGGCTGGAGCACTATTGCCCCGACATTGTGAGATTGCGGGAAAATAGCTTACACTGGTCCACGCCCCAGGCGATCCAATATGCGAGTTGCCCGCCCATGCAATCCCACCCTTGTACTCAGATGAATTGGGAGGATGCTGTGGAATTGGAGTGGGTGGGTGGACCTTATTTTGAGTGTGAGGAAAGATGGCATCAAGGGTGTGGCCATACAATAGGTCCCAGTTTGGTATGGAGAACTTGACAGGCTCACTCCTCGTAAAGACAGCTTGACTCAGCTGCCAACTGCAGGAGAACCAGGGAGCCAGAATATGTCCCACCGAATTCTCTCCAGAGTCCTCTTTGAAGTATGGGGACATCACGACGAGTTCCTTAGCTGACAAATCAGTGCGGAAAGGACGCAGAGAAAGTAGGAAAATCAAATGCTATTTTTGTGCCTCCATCTTCCTGCCGGTCGCTTGCGCAAGAACATTTGTGGTCAGAAAAACCAGCTGCAGCTACAAGAGGGAGGTCCTTTCGTGTAGATGATCGTGCCCATTAAAGGAGGAAGGACTGTAGCTCAGTGATATAAAAATGTGGCATCCTTGGCTAGGAAAGAGGCTTGTTTGCTGTTTCAGAGAGCGGCTACCAAGCCACCCAGAGAGGACTGAAGCCCCTGGGCCAGTGCTCTGATTCAGTAGAGAGCAGAGCGGGCACGTTCTAGAACCCAGCCCAAACTCTGTCACGTTCTGGTGCGTTATTTTTATACTCTACTGAATTCCAGGCAAGGTATATATTCTGCACATACCTCCTTCTGGTTGAGAACATTATGTCTGTCATGCTGCCAGTCGTATTATCTTCCGTTTAGCCACGGGCCAGTTACTATCTTGATCCTACATTTGAGGTCGATAAACTTATTGGAAATCTTTTGAATCAATAGTTTCAAATGCAGCTGCTTTGGAAAGAATGTCATTAGTGATCATAAAAAAGAGCCCACAGGATTGTGTGTGTGAGTGTGTGTGAGTGTGTCTATGTCTGCGTGATAGAGAGACAGAGAGAAAGATGGATATAAAATAAGTGCTGCCTAAATGATGTTTCTCTTCCCCCCCCCATTTCTTTGACATAAAGCTGATATTTTAATAAACGTATTCAATTTTGTAATACACTGTGATTTTCACATGACATCTATGGAAGCTAATTTATGTTTACATATGAATGTATATGAAGCCCAAGTCTGTTAAGCAGTAGATGTTGAAGAAGCATGGGTTCAACAGGATTCCAAGGGCATTTCGGTATGGATAACTAATTAAAACAGGAATTAACAATCTGGTTTCTACAATACTTTTGAATACATCTCCTACAATCTCTCACTTTTGGTCATACTGGATGGCACTCTTGGAGTTATATTTGCAACCTTGCCTGCTGCCTCTGGCTTGAGTGACTGGGAGGGATCTTTCTAGGTTGGGATGATTATCAATATATCCATCACGAACAAATCATTCCTTCCCACATCTGAATTCAAAGAGAGCCCCCGCTTCTCTGCTGAGTGTTCCTTTCCCTCTCTCTTTAATCTGTTGGAAGCAGAGCTTTTTAATCTGTTCACAACTGCAAGTGATGAAACATTTTTATTCTTTCTCCTGCAAATGTCTCAAAGCGAGTTATTGAGACCTTAAGTGCCAGTTAATGAGAAAGGGGTGGACTATCTGGGAAACTTGTAGCTATTCTCTTCTGTGAGTCTCTATGCTTCTACTGCATAGCACAAGGACTCTGCAAAAGGTGCCTATGGAAGTGTCAATCCAGAACATCGGGTGGCACAAGGCTGCCTACCTGAACACTCTTTTGTGACTACAAGGCAGTTGAAGTGAATGTGAATTGTACAATAGGAACATTTAAATGGTTTACAAATAATCCCTGTAACTACGTTGAGGGAAATGTGACATTCTAATATACAGTACAGCCTATATTTTCCAATAGAAAGTAGAGATGTACTGAGATCCTCACATTTATTTTAAACTGCTGCAGTTGGTATTAAGGATATATCAGCAACCAAAGTGGTACCACCCTGAGAACAGTGGTGGCAGTGCTGGAATAATACTGTAGCTTATGATTCTTAAGATGTGAGTAGCTCAAGGGAAAAAAAATCAGGGTAAGGGCCGTTCTTCAGCATAAGTTCACATCTGCATGTGAACTCCATTCATAGGTACATGAGTACCTTCATGAATAAGTGACAATCCATTGTACTATAACTACAAGGAGGCACAATCCACTGTGCACATCCAAAGTTCTGCTGTGCCCATCCATATGATGTACGTGGCAGTCGAACAAGTGCCCAGCAGCCACTGTTGCACAAACCCATTCATCTCAGTGGATGTTGGATGGCAACGTTTTCTAGTGGATGGAGCCAACAGACCCTTCTCAACTGACATCTCCTACAAGAAAATGTTCCGTGAACTAGCAAGTTTAAATCTCAGAATGGGGGGCCGGAATGCCTTTTGAGAAGATGGCAGAGAGAGCTTTTGTGGTTCATCCCTGAGCCTATAGAGGTTGGGGAGTTTGTGAATGAGAATGGATGGATGGATGGATGGATGGATGGATGGATGGATGGATGGATGGATGGATGGATCGATCGATCGATCGATCGATCGATCGATGGATCGATGGATCGATGGATCGATGGATCGATGGATCGATCAATGGATCGATCAATGGATCGATGGATATTTCACTTCTAAGGTTTGGTTCCAGCTCTGTGAAACCTATGTAGATTCTACTGGCAAATTTATTTTGCCATGGGTAGGAATTGTGTGACCCCTGCAGATGCTGGTGGGCCACAGATCCCACCAGCCTGAGCCAGCCAGCACAGCCAGTGGTGACAGAAGATGGAAGTCGTAGTCAAACAACATCTGAAGGGCCACACAGTCTCCATCCCAGGTTTCTGTAGGTGGGAAGAACAACTCTTGAGGGATGGGGTTAATGTGACAATTTGAATGGGTTCAGGGTTGGGTTTAGGATGTCCATTTTGCTTACCCGCTTCTTTTAGTGTTCATTAACCACTGTACAAAATCTTGAGCTCGTCTCGTGTCCAAGAACTTGCTGTAATCGCTGGTGAATGTACCTTGTGAATGCCGTTTCACTTCATTCAGCTGTCTAGAGTCATCTAATGGTTCAGCCTGGGAAGCTTTGAATGATCTACAAGTGCGGTTTGTAACAAATTAATTGCACTGAAGACTACACATTTGAAAGGTGCCACATCTGGGTCCTGGCCTCCTTAAAAGATACATTCCTTTGAAAAAATAATTGCTGCTAAGAAAGGGTCATTAGCTGCCTAATGACTGCTCGGGAACAGGAGAAATAGATTCTGTTAACACAACAATAACAACAACCCAAAGCACTCCTGGTTGAATGAACAACCTCATGTGCTTCTGGCTTTTCCAATGTTCATTCTATGGGTGGAAGAATCACATGTTAACAGCTTAAGGAAATATTCATTCCAGTTTATCCTCTGCTACAGGAAAATTCACATTCCATTTTGGAGTTATTAGGGCATTGCAACTTAGATCTCGGGTGTTTACCTGGTTTTCTCTTCTGTTTCCTGGAGGGGACTTTGCCAGCTGCTTTGGATAATCATTAAAAGCAATCCAGCGACAAAGTATGTGCTTTTCATGTTCATCACCTGTCAGAAAGGGATGGAAGGAAAACAGTCATGCTCTACTGCATTTGTACATACAGGTATACCCGTGACAGGAGTCCAGGGCTATGTCACAGGCTGGCATCAGCAGTCTACAGCTCAAGTAATTGTAATCTCCACAACATCTCTTTTGTAAAGTTAATGATTCTTGACTATTCACCCAACACCAAGTCACCTCAAAATACTCTGTAATGCAACAGGGAGATCTTTCAACATCATATAGGCCAAAATCCTATTGCGAAAGTTTATGCCCATGCAAGCTGATGATGTCATCAGCCCCAGAATTCTATTTGCTCATTAAAAGTGCTTTATTGCATCTTCCCAAGAATTCTGGGGCTGATGACATCATCGGCTTTTAATAAGTGCTTTATTCCATCTTCCCAGGTTTTGAGGTTTCTTTGAGATCCCTTTTGACCTGGGGAAGCCTTTGGGAGCTTCAGGACAGGGTGAGGAGAGCCTTTAATGCCCCGAATTCACCACCAGCACTTCTGACCCCTTAGGATTAGGGCCACCAGGACCAGATTTCAGGCATTAAAGGTTTCCTCACCCCATCCTAAGGTCTCCCAAAGGTTTCCGGAAGCCAAGGGGAGCTTCAAAACGTGGAAGGAGTGGAGTCGGAAACTTTTAATGGAAAACAAAAAGCACACATCTGATGATGTCATCTCCTTGAGCTGGGGTAACTTTATGGAAGAGGATTTTAGACCTTACAGTCTTAACGGTGGAAAATTGATTTCTCGTCCATGTTTTGTTTTCCTTGCTGTGCAAAGAACTCAAGGATTCCCCACAGTTAGATGCCACATTTAAAAAGGGATTTCTATATCCAGACACCAGAAGCAGTGAAAGCTGATTATAAGAATGAACATGATGGAATTGGACTCAGTCAGGACTGAGCTAATTGATTTAAGCGGAAATTGGTTGTGGTGGATTATGCCCAAATGACACAATTTTGTAACATGCTTAGGCAGAAAGTATAAATCATATTGCCATCAGCATTTGCTGATGTCCAAGTGTATCCTCAATTCTGATTTCCTCTGTTGGTTGGTGGGGGGGGGAGAGGAGTCTTTTTTATTCATTTAGTAGTGCAATACTGCCCCCCTGTGGTGTTTCTTAAGAAATCACGTTATAATACTACAGCTTGGAGCTCTTCATAAATCTTTAAAGATTCCACATGATTGTGCAGCTCACATAGACAGATCGGGTGGGCCTAGGTGTGAAGCAAGGCGCATTTCCTCCCTTTGGCAGTCAATGCCTAGTGATTTAAAAAAACAACATGAGAAGCAACATTCTCACAAATCGAAGAGAAAGATTAAGAAATGTTGCAGCAACACGGATGGGCAGACACAGTTCTAAACAGCAAGAACCTGGGGCCAAAGATCCGGAGATCCATTATGTAGCAGTGCTTAGAAAAGCTTTCATTTTTGTTTTCTAGACACCAGTTTCCAGCATTCCTCTACCTGGCACAGAAATTTCTAGTGGTATCAAGCAAGAATCTTTTCTACTGCCCATGATGCTGGGAATAGTAGGTTGTGTTTTTTTTTAAAGCACTCTTCCAAGTTCTGGTTTTTATGCACATCTGCATGTATGTCGCATAGGTTTCTGTGAACACCACTACCATGCAATGGCTGGAGACCGAGAGCCAGGAAAGGTTAAAAACTTCCTCTTATAAGCTGAATTATCAATTGTCTGGCCCTCTATCTAATTTACTCTTAGCAGGAATTGATTTTGTGTAGATGGCAAGAATGATTACATGACCCAATCTTCTAGTAGAAAAATCCCAACCTTTTTCTTCTTCTTTGCTTGTTAGATAGAAAAAGGGAAGAAAAATCCTCTCAAGACGAAAGTTGAAATTCCAGGCGAATATTCCATGACCTGGGTGCAAATTCAGGTACGTGATACTGACCCAATGGGACTTCCATGATCCTTTTCTGTCCAGGGCAGCCCATCTCTTAAATATAATGATTTGTAGCCAAATTCTGCCTGGATTCAGGATCAGAAAGCTTACTTGTCTGTGTTCTTTTCACTGTCATTTTCAAGAGACTGGGTACAACCCTACAGATGAAATCCTAAACACACATACTTGGGAAGCCCTGTTCAAAACAGGGGAATGTTTTCTGATTTGGTTTTCTGGGACTGGACTGCATTTTTTTCATCTGCATGTGATAACACCCTTTCCCCTCTTTTGTGTGTGTGGCTACGGCTCCCAAACTGCTGCTTTAAAATTTAAAAGGACATGTGTGTCTGCTATGTTTCGAGACCATAATCAGATTTGGATTATGAAAATAAGAAATGAACAAGACACTCTTAGGTTACGACGACACAGTGAGGGAAATGTGAATTTGGTTGCATTCACTCTCTCTGAAGTCACACCAGGGAATTCAGGTCTGCTCAATTTAAGTGACCATATAGAGAGAGAGAGAGAGAGCCCCCCCCCCAAAAAAGCAAAGTACACCTTGTTGCAGCTCTATTGAAGTGCCTGTAGGTGGCACCATTCAAAGGAATTGCCATAAGAAAGCTTTTCCTTCCTCAATGACTCATTTCCTCATCTTACTTTTTTTTAAAAATTGCAGACTGGGAGAGCTCTGTTAAGATGTAACAAACAAACAAACAAACAGGAGTTCTGCTCATGGAAGAGAGACTTTGCTGAGAAAGTGATTGCTGGTGCTGCTTTTATGTGTGCATATGTGTGGTTCATCCTTGTAAGAAAAGAGGTGAACGGTCAGGTGCTTCAGCAAAACACTGCTCTGTGTGCGCATGTGCTCGACTCATCCTCTCTTTCTATATCAGTTCAAACAATCATATGCCTGAACTGATGCGAAAGATTCTGGTTTTTAAAAATTAGAGGCTTAGCCTGAGTAGCACAGGGGAAAAACTATGGAGTAGGGGGACTCTAGGCTGATTTGCATTTCCCATTGCATTTCATGATCAAGAGAGAGAGAGAATGCAAATCAGCCCACCTCAAACCTGTAGTATTTGCTGCATTTTTTAAAATCAACATTGTCACCTCCTTAGGTGAAACTGAAAAAAGCATTGCCTTGATCAACGAGAGCACTGTTTTCCTTGTCAAAAGGAAGTGGGGAGAGATACTTTAGAAGTCCAGGGTTTCAAAGCATTATGCGACCTCTGTGTACAGCATGAAGTAGTGACCTTGCTGAAGTTAAGCAAGGGTAGATCTGGCTAGCACTTGAATGGGAGAGCACCTTGGAGTTCTATCTATGCCCTCTTAATTTCCATGATACAAGAAAGGTGGCATGTTGTAAACGTGCTCATAAATCCTCAGTATCTGCAGAAAAAGTGTGATAATTCTGAATGGCAGTAACACACAATAGCTAGAAGGGGGAAAGTTTAAGATTCCCATGTGAAAAAAAAATAATTTTAATGTTACAATCCTACATTTAAAAATACTATTAATTTTACTAATGGTCTTGACTTCTAATGTTGCATCATTTTTAGTACAGGTGAGTGAAGAAAGGCTTCCCAGACTTTGCTGGACTACACTGTCCATCAGTCCATACCAGGATGGCCAGTGGGAGGTGTGCTAGGAGTAACAGTCCGACGATATCTAAACAGCCGGACTTTGGCCACTCTTGATATAAAAGAACACACAAGTTCCTGTCCTCAGGAACTTTGATTTCTCACTAAACCCTGCCGTGCACTCCTCACTTCAGAACTTTAACATTTTATCACCTCTAACAGTCAAACTGCAAAGTGGTGGGATCTTCGAGATTCGGGCTGAGATCCTGTGAAAGGGGGTGGGACGTTTCAGTCCACATTTCCCTTCCCTGGCATGGCTGTCTTCCCCCTCCCCCGGCTACTAGTAGCCCCAGAAGGCTAGCAATGGTTCCAGATGGGGGAAGAAGGACCATCACTATAGGGGAGTTGAGCAAGGCCACTACAGCTCCAGGAAAATTCAAAACCACACAAGGAGTTCCAGTCATGGACCTCCCCTCTCACTTGCAGTTAGGTCACCAAACCCAGGTCCATCACTGAGAAGCTGTAAAGGTCCATTTTTATAAGCCTGGCTGATACACTGTTAATGACTTGGGGATAAGAGTCACCGTGCGGCTCAACAGAAGCAAATTAGAGCCACAGTCCAGTCAGTGTTAAGAGTTTTAAAGCCCTGGTGTCCATGGAGAGTTGCTGAGTGCAATAATCCTGCATCCCTTGGATGCGACTTTGTACTGACACACACACACCCTGCCGGTAGAGCCATACTGTCTACAATGCCCAACAGCAGCGGTCCAGGTTGTCAGAATGAGGTTCTCCCTGGCTCTACCTGAAGAGGCTGGAGACTTGAATCGGGATCTTTTCCATGTAGAGCTGGTGGTACAGCCTGGGACCAAGCACTATTGAATTTAATATGTAAACAGGACAGGTTCTCGGCTCAAACGACACGCCATGTGTGTTTAATTTCATGGAAGATCATGGCATTTTGACCTTTGGTTGGATTATGCCCTGATCTTTATCTGGTTTTATAAAAGTAACAACTTTGGATGCTATTTTTAAATTATGCGGAACAATTCTGTATCAAGAGTAAACTGTCTTAAAATTATTTGGGATTTTTCATAATATATATTTTTTTTCAAAAAAAAATTATACCTAGCTGACCCCATTATATTTTCTTCATGACTTTTCTCAAAATTCTTTTCTCCCCCCATTCTTGCTGTGTTCTGTGCTCTATTGTAGCCTTAAAAATCTCACTGCGGCCCCTCACAGGTGAACCCTCTTCCCTCACCTTCAAAGGAAATGGATTTTAAATCACTGCACATCATGCTGCTCAAAGGCAAGGCTCCTTATCCACGTGCATATACACACACACCCCAGGCAAACACGCTCACGTGCACCTACAAATATATAAAATGAAAATATTCCAAGGCTGGCATGACCACCCACTTCCCAGGAACGGAGCCACGTTGAAATAAATGGGACTTACCTTTGAGGAGACGTGCCTAGGGCTGCACCACAAAGTCACCAGTCAACACAGCCTAAGTTTCCCCAAAGTATGAAGAGATCACCAAGCAAAAGCTAGAGGTGGCTCATCTGACTCTTACCTTAGAGTGCTTGGAGGGAATAGATGAAGCAGGAAATACACCACCTCTCTCTGTCTTCAGAGACTTCTGGGGGTCTTGGGAATCCTAAAGTGACTGCATACGCTTCTTTCTCTCTCTCAGCCTTATATATACAGTTCAGCTCCAATAAGCACTGCATCACTGCTGACAGTTTCTTTACTCAGTTTGGGGAGGGGGGGGGAAGAGATGAAACAAACAATCCCTTTGTTTGCCCATCTTTGCATTTGACCATTTTTCTTACAACTGATTTCACACATTTTTTTCTGTTTACTCTGTGACATCAGTGTTGACATGAGGCCTAATGGGTGGCGTAAAGGCAATAAGGTGTTGCTGTCAAAAGAATTATCTACCACGATGCTAGAGTTAACCCATCACAAGAATCACATGTCTAGGAGCCAACATGCAGCTTCTCGATATCCCCACCCCCGCCTCTAAAAATGAGACATCATTTGTACATTGTCATACAAACGCCAAGGCCTGAGATCTAGACACGGTTTGACGTTTCTGAAAGACATTAGTGAGAGATGTTTAAAGATGTGTGTTGCTCCACCATAGAAATCCATGGCACCTGGACGTAATGTTTAAATATATGAACCCTTAGATGTAAGATGGGTTTGTAAACAAGATCCCATAGATCCAAACATTGAGTAAATCCACTTAGGAGACCAGAGGATAGTCTCACAAAGTAATTCTGATCCCATCAGGCCCACTGTGTTCACTTGCCTTACACTCAGGCAGGCATACATAGGTTTTCCACACTCAACTTATTGATAGCGGGGATCTACATCAAGGAACTCTCTCTCTCTCTCTCTCTCTCTCTCTCTCTCTCTCTCTCTGTTCAATTAAAAAACAAGGTTTAGATCAAGGTATATGCCACTACTGGCGATAGCTGGGATCTACATCAAGGAACTTGCGCTCTCTCTCTCTCTCTCCCTGTTCAATTAAAAAACAAAATATTAGCAGGTCCGATGGTGCAACCCGTTTTAGATCAGGGTATATGCCACTATTGGAAAACTGGTTGTTCGCAGCCATGTTACATTAAGGCTGCAATTCCTTGACATCCTCAGCTAGGGTGCATTGAGCATAATGGGCATTACTCTTGAGTAGGCAAGCCTAGGATCGAGACCAGTCTATGTGGCTCAGGTCATCCCTATCGACGGACACTTTGTGCCAGCTCATGTTGCGAGCAGTCATGCATCAAAACAGCAAATAGTTCTAGAGGTGATGACATCTGATGATGTGGGCTCTTCCACAGATAACTTTGCTTACCTACATGCTGCTGCTTTTATTCCACAGGGCACTTCATTGCTCCTTCATGCCTGATGGCAAATATGTTAAAATGGCAATGCCAGCAGCTTTGGTTGTTGATAACAGGATCAGTAGTTAAAAAGAGAGGAAGCACAAGTGGCTTGTTCTTCCTGTTCTTCTTGCACTTTTCCAATTTCCACATCTCTCATTGGGGTCAGATGAGCAAGCTGACCGTGAATTGTTAGGCTGTGTATCTAACTGTGAAAGCAGATGTAAATGTTGTACTTAAGCCATTGCCAAGATACCGTGAGGCTAGTTGTGCCGTGTCTGGAAAGAGGAAGGCATCTCTCTCACACACATATACCCCTAAAGAGGACAAGACACAAGACACAGATTTATATGAAGTTTTCATATCCTAATCGCCAGACTTATATGCAAATTTAAAAATAACTGCTATGATTTAAAGTGCGGGCGGGCAGTTTTAAGGGTTCCCTGGTGTCCCATAAACCCACCAGGGGCCTCTCGTTCACTGAATCTGCAAACTGAACTCACCACAGCAGCAAATTGGATGGTGCATGTTGGCAGAGTCCACAAAAATTGGCAAGGGACCTGCATTTGCCCCTCTCTGAATGATATAATAATATCATACAATACACAAAGATATACTCTTTGTCCACCTAAAATGTAATACCTCTAGCCACTGAAAGGAAAACTGTGACCTGTCATGCCTGCCTGCTTGGTGTACTGCCTGGATGTACAATGGTGATGGATAACTTTAAAGTCCCTCTTCTGCCCTATGGCTCTTTAACTTTACATCAAATTTGGACCAGTCATTCCTTGTAAAATTGAAACCTTTGAATAGAGATGTATCCTCTTTAAAATAAGACATGGCTCTCTACCTAGAAACAGAGCAGGGTCCATGAGTAGCCCAGGTTCTCTCTTTACTTCATCAGATGGGGTCACAAAAGATCCCTCATTCCATACGTCAATCAGCCAACCCATTTCAGGGCACAGAGATCCCCTACCAGCACCATCTTGGCCTCATCTCACTTCAGGTTTCTTTTTTAACCTATTCCCTTTTAATCCATATGATTGCTTCCAAATGCTGGTTCAGGACAAAGAAACTTCTGCAGAATGCTATGGAATGTTGGCAACATAAACATACACTCTGTTGCTTCAGAATACCTAGGTTTCATAGTCTGTATAATCTCTGTCAGCATTTATTCAGAAAAAAACCAGATTCCCCCGTTTTATTAAATGCCTGACAGAAAATGCAAGAATCCTGAGCAACCTGTTGGGTTGCCTCATCAGATAGTGTGAGCTGGGCTGCCTTGGGAGTCAACTTGGGGGAGAGGGTTGAGAACCTCCCTCCACCTTGCTATTCCTATTCCTGAGGCAGAGCTTCGGATGGCAGACCAAGCCATGGACCAGCAAATATGGGGAGTCATGAATGGGCAGCAAGTGGTCAGGCTTTTCTTCTGATAGTGTTGTATTTTTACTTCCAGTGAGAGTTAAAATACTCATGGGGTCTTGTGCTTCGTGCGCTAAGATAATTTGTTAAGCTTCGGATATAGTGAAGCTTAACATAGCCAAGGAGGGACATTATTTGGTCTTCTCTCCTGCCAAAAACTGTTTGTTGCTGGCCTGGCCCAGATCTTGTGGTCCTATCAAGACATTTTCTCCTAACTTCTCACAGACCACCCTAGGCCCTTGACCAAAGAAGCAGGCAGAGAGACAGGCAGTCTCGGTCACAAAGAGTGACCATGGGACAGGTTAATGTTAGTTCCCTAGTAGTCTTTCTGTGAGGTTTGTGACCCATGGGTACCCTCACCAATGTTGTTCATTTGTCTAGGCAAACCTGCTGATAGAGATTATGCAGATTATGAAATCTGAGTATCATGATTAGCTTTCTGTTGGCACCTCTCTCTTTTTGTGGCAAAACACAAATGGACAACATCTTTTCTCCCTCCGCCCCCACCATTCAGGGAACCATAAACCGTACGGAACCATATACTGCTCTGCCTTCCTCCTCTTCTGGCCACTCCAGCCAGAGGGGGTGGGATGTTGAGTCTCTGTGAAGGTTCAGTTATCAGGGCCTCCTTGTCATTAAATAAACCACGAGACATTTGTGGACCAAACATCGGGTCTCTATTTATTAATTCAGGCAACTGCCTATTAACATCAATAACTTTATGTGGAACTTTCTCTTGTGCAAGCAACGGCTCTTGCAAGGGTGACCAAACATTTGTTTCAAAAGGATTCAACGACTTTAAGTCCCAAGGTCCAGCTGTTACCGGTTCAGACTCTTGATTCTCCGCATCTGTAACCTCAGGGATCAAAAGCGGGAGGGTTTCCTCATCCCGTCCATCCCCATAACGGGGATCCCTCTCCCGGCTGGGAGCCCCACGGAGCAGGTAGCATCCTGTCTTCCTCAGCTCCTCCAGATGCCATGCTCTACGCGCCTCTGTCTCTCTCACTATAGCCTCTTTCTCTTCCCTCAGGCGACACCGCCACTCCCGGGTCTCTGATTCACCCCAGTAAGAGGGTTGTTGAGGCAATCCTTTCCGCCTCTGGTTCTCTGCCTGTTGTTTGGGAACCCGAACCTGCTCCCATTTCCCTGTCCAAGGATTTTGGAGCCAGATCTTCTCCCAACCCACCGGTATATCGTCCCGGGCCGTATTTATATCCCCCGTTCCCGCCTCTACCACTGCCCTTCCCCCTCCCTCTTTTCCCGCCAAATCGGGTTCTGTCTGTGTAGTGACACTTAACCTCTTCAGCCCCGTTTCCAGATCCCTGGTGTCCACTCCTCGGATATCATCTTTTCTCCCCTGTTGTTGCCTTCCAGGTCTCGAGTATCTAGACCAGGGGTCTCAAACATGCGGCCCCCCAGATGATAGTTTATGGGCCTCGCCTTGCCTGCCCCCCCAAAGCGCCCACACATCCTCTGCTGTTAAGAGTAAAAAAAAAAAAGCCTTGCCTCGCTCGCCGGCTCTCTCCTCTTGCACCCTCCATCCAGAGTTGCCTTCCAGGTCTCGAGTATCTAGACCCTGATGTTTCTTCCTGGGGGGGGGGAGTAGGTGGTGGGGTCGTCTACATCCCTTTAGATGCCCTGGGGAGAGACTGCGGCCCAGCCTCACCCAGCCTCTCCCTCTAGCGGCCCCCAGGTAAAATGAGATTAAAACCCCTGATCTAGACCCCGATGTTTCTTCCTGGGGGGAGTAGGTGGTGGGGTCATCTGCATCCCTTTAGACGCCTTGGGGAGAGATGGCACTCCTAAGTGGGCTTCTTGTCCTTGGTCTCTACCTCCACAGTCTCCCCACTCAGTTGCTGAGTGGCCAAAAGATCAGGAAGATGGAGCAGTGCCAGCTGGGCTTTGCTTGACGTTGGTGCAACGACCAGGACGCTGGCCCCAGCGTATTGCACAGCAACCCATAAGTGGACAGGTTGGTTCTGGGGATCCTGGCCACCTGGGTCTGGGATATTCATTTTCATATAGAAATACGAATATCCCATCTCTAGGTATGGTCTATGCTTCCCTGAATGAAAAAAAGAAAAGACCTTGTCCACTTGTGTTTTGATGCAAAAAAGAGAGGTCTTGTCTGGCTGTGTTTCTACTTGAAATGATCCATCCTTCCCCTTTAAGAGCTGACCTGTATCTTTCTGGCACAGGGCTAGGGCATGCAATCTTTTTATGGGATGATTCGTTGAGATGCAAAATAGCTCTTCGTTCTGCCTTTGTGGATGGGTGCCAGGCACTAAAATAGATTGCACTGAAGATCAGGACCTTTTAAGCACCGGCCAATTTGGCAAGAT